CCCAAGGTAAGGGTGAGTTGAGTGCTGCTTTGGCTCAGCAGTGGACTTGGAGTTTTTTTGGATGTATGCGGACTAATTTAGGATTCAGGCGGACTAGTTTTGGATTACTTTAGGGGATAAAATAAACTTTGGATGCATTTTGGGGCAAAATTGGACTACTTCTTGCTCACTGGGAGATACAGAGCTTGGAACAAGGAAGTCTTGCTAAATATTTTACAAGGCTTCCTGAGAAATAACCGCAATGAAGTTTGGATTAATTCTTAGGCTAGCTCAGCTAGCTTTTTATTTAGCATTTTGCTAAATAAAAAAGCCTTCCCTTGTTCATGCACCTTCCCATTTTCAGGGGAAGATCCATGCCACTGACGACACTGAGCACCCCCAATAAACCCCCAAAATCTGGCTGCAAAGATGTTGCTGGTTTAACAGGATTTGAGTGTACTGTATATTGTTTTGAAACTCAATTTCCCAAGAAATGATGGGAAGTGGAAGCTTTGAAGGTGAACTGATTTAGTGTGAAACAATTACTAATAGAATGACGCATCCCTGTCAAATGAACAAGCAAATTTAATGAAATTCATGCTTGAAATTGTCCTGTTTTGGAATCTGAACCTTTCCTTTCTAAGGCTTCCCTGTGGAACTATTTATGAAGTATTCAAGTAATCAGTCAAATGGAAACATTTTCTCTGTTCAGAAACTCAGCTATTGATTTCGAAATTTTGAAAACTGTTCAAAAACTCACAGCTTTCAATTTCGATGGTGCAATTCTGGAAATCCAGAGGATAATAATGGAGGTCCATCATGCAGGACAAGGTTGTGGTGAACCTCATTCCGTATGCTATGCTTCCATCTCCATGTAGCTTGACCATCTTATTTTTCTCCGTCACATCATGCAGATAGCTGTAATTTTAATTTTTTCAACGTGGCCATTAAAATCGATGTAATTAGAGGAACTGTAAAATTGAAAAGTACCTGTGCTTGTCATTTGGGAAAAAGGTGTCGGGAACCCAGATCTTCTCGGAAAAGTCCCCGGCCAGAGTGAATACCTCGTTTTCAGAACTGAAGGAAAGTCTTTCGTCCTTCCAATATTGGTTCAAGTTCATTGTTATCGTGAAATCCTTCGAAATTAAATTCAAGATACTTTAAATCCTCTTTCAGACGAAAGCTTTTTTTTCTCCAGAACCTCACCATGTTTACTTCAGAAATTGAGTCGAAACTGGCGATTACGATGTCCATTCCAACATAAAGGGGACCCCCTGTGCAAAATAAACAATTCAATTTTTAAAATCGCGAAAAATGTACAGTGAACCCTTGGTCAACAAACTTTTTGGTCAACAAACTTTTGGTTTTGAGAAAAAAATATCTTGGTTAACAAGGCAAAAGTCAGTTGACAAACATTTTCTGGGGGGGGGGGGATCCTCAAATTGAAAATTTAAAATATCAGTCTAAGGCTGAAATTTATGATACAATCTTAAGTGTAGAAAATTAACCTATGCACTGATGTGAAAATTATTCTTCCTGGCACAATAATATGTGTAATCTTCTTATTCTAAATTTGTTTCACCTAAAGCAGTGTTCCCCAACCCATGGTCCATGGACCAGCACTGATCTGCAGAAATTTTTTGCCAGTCTACAAGAAATTTTCTGCTTTGGGACATTTTCTGTTGCATAATGTATGAACTAAAGTAGCAATGAAGTGGGTTGTTCTTTTTCTGAACTGTTGGAAAGACAATAGCAATGGAAATTATCTGATGAAAAAATAAAAGTTGGGTTTCCACCTCATAATTTTTTTGAAAATATTTTCTTTCTAAGAAACCTTCCTGCAAGCCCACTTTTCTGATGTTTTGAAGACATTCCCATACATAGCTTTTTCATTGGTTCATTAATTTTGAAGAAAAAACATGAACTCTTCAAATTCCTGCCAGAAAGTCTTTCAAGTTTCAAGCAAAACTTTTGAGTCTGCAAACATTTTGTGAAAATGTACCAGTCTGCAGAAAATGTTTTAGAAATTTACTGGTCTGTTAAAATTTTTATGAAAGTTTGCCAGTCTGCAGGCCCACAAAGGTTGAGGAACACTGACCTAAGACAATCAAATATGCTTTTATGTGACAGAATTCTTTGCTTTCCTGTGCTTGGTTTTTATAGAATTGTTTAATTTTTCTGAAGGTCTAATTTATCTTTACTTGCAGGATAAAATAAATTGTTTTGACCTGACAGGAATCAAATGTTTCCTAGGATGTGAAGCTTTTTATCTTTGTTTTCATCAGTGCTACTTCCATAAAAGACTGAAAACCTCTTTGGACTTATATAAGATGAAGCAGCAGCAACTTATTCTGATTATACTGTAGTTGATGGTCTTGAATTGTGTATATTCAATGTTCACTTGTCTTTTGGATTCATGGAACAGATTAAATGCTTCCTTGGTGAAGTCTACAGGAAAATAAAATTAGGTTAACAAACTTTGGTCTGGAACCAATTAAACTTCTTAACCAGGGGTCCAACAGTGAATAGCTTGATCTTCTTACTTCCAAAATTCGGGCGAAGTCGAGCATCATAATCACTCATGAGCCCCTTCAAAACATGCGAAAAATTGCTCGCAGTCTGCTCTTCATCTTCGTAAATAACTCCCAGAGTTTTCAAGCTGGAATTAAAAAAAAAAAAAAACCATGAAATCAAGCAAAAAATTCCAAAATTGAGGAAAACACAATTCCTCAACTAACCTCAGCAGCGAGAAAATCACTAAGCAAAGCACTGTCTTCATGATGTTCACGACATGAACTAGTGGCGAAAGAAAAACTGGGCTTCTCTCTTCACAATTCAGGAAACACGCTGTCCTTGTGCCAAAAGTCCCAAAACGCATGCGTCTAAAGCAACTGTTGGTCTAATTTTAGCCCCGTCTGGATTTACTTATTTCGGGGAGTACAGGAAAGAGGCTTCAATTCCCTCTCAAATCATCTCAGTGCCCTGAAATACCTGACTATATCTTGATTTTTCAATGCAGTTATTTACACAGGGGAGATCTTGAAAATTTTAGCGCGAGATGGAGAAAGAGGCAGACTGTGAATATATGATTTTTTATTCATGTGGAACAGAAAGAAAACCATGTATGCATTAAATCCAAAATAGCAATTTTTCAAGTACAATAGTACTGATGCATCTTCTTTGAATTTATGACTGAATAATTTAATGTGCAGTAATATGAAAAAAAATTTGAAATCGATTTTCATTTTCATGATTGACTGGCGCCATTACAGAAATTTCCATGAGAATCTGTTGAAGAAAAAGGTTTGTGATCAGTTCAAAAACATGTTTCAGCCTTTCAAAGGTGCTATTTGTTTTGGCCTTGAAATAAAAGAAAACATTTCATGTGCAGGTAAATTTCAGAAAATAGTCATTGTCATCCTGATTTTTTTTTTTTAGAAAGGAGAGTCAGAAATAAATTCTAAGAACAGGCGCACTGTGAAAATCCAATGAAATTGATACATTTTATACTCAAAATTACAATGAAAGAAGGATAGTTCTTTGTGCGGATTGAAAAGAGCAGTATGAAAATTTAGGTAAATTAATCTACTTAACTCGTTTGTACGTCCATATTATAAACCTTTCGCAAGTCTCTCTCTTCAAATCAGAATATCGGAAAGTAAAAATGGCCATTATGCATTGGCGAAAAAGCCATCTGTGAACCGTCAACAGGTTCTTTTCAATCTTTCCTGAACTAAAGGGAACCTGGTCATTTCCATAACTATGGGGGCTTATGCAAAGTTCCGTCGAGACTTGCCCACTTCTGTGACCCAAGCCATCGTTGGGAACAGTGACCCAGAGTCTGCGGACCTGTGGGTCTCGTTTCGCGAAGCTGTGGGTTCTGCGGGTTTCCGAAGGACAACAGTCGCCACAAGTAGACTTGAGAAGGATTTAGCAGCTGCTGAGAAACACCGGAAACAGGGAGTTGAGGCATTTGAAAATGGGAAATATTCTGAGTGAGTGGATATCAAATGCGTTTGTGATTATTGCTCTGGATTAAATGTTCCCCTGACAAAGAAGAGTGATTATAATTTAAAATCAAACACAACAATCAGCCTGGGACAGGCTGGGAGCCTCTTCATATAGGCTCCAAGAAATTCAGATTTACTGCATTATTGTCCCAATACAACATTATAAAACACAGAGAATTTTACAACTCATACACAAAAGCTTTCACACAACACAGACAAGGTTTTTGATAGTATTCAATTAATACCATATTTACTTGAGTACCACGCACCCTTGAATAAGGCGTGCAGAGGGGTTTTTCAGTGGGAAATTTTGCTAAAATTGTATCCCCAAGTAAGACGCGCACCCCAACTTTTAGTAAATCTGAAACCACAAACTTTTGAAACTAAAAACAAAAAATTGACTTTAGGAATGAATTCAACAAAAATTTAATCAATCTTCAACTTTTTCAGTACAAAAACATTTTCTTTTTACATTTGCTCCATATGTCTCCATTACAATCAAGTACTGTATAATGCAAACATAACTTCATTAAACTTCTTGAAGATTTTGTACCCACTTATGATGCACAACCCTTTTTTGCTTCTGAAATTCAAGAAAAAAAAGGTGCGTGTGGTACTCTAGTAAATACGCTATAGTTTTCAGGTCTAATCAGCTTGAGAGTTGGCAGTGGGATGATTTAATTGCTACTTTTTTTGGGAGAAAGAAGAAAGTGTAGGAAATTGGTTTTCCATGTGGGTTAAATATTGGCCTCTGATTGGCCACTTCTGTTGGAATAGAAGACAATGCTGTGCATTGCAGCAAAATTCCTTTATGGCTTCTTCTTTGGTGCTGGGCTTCCACCGAAGGACCAGTTTTTGGTATGCAGTGGTATTTTATTATTATAATTTTTTTACAGGCACGCGCCTCACTGAAACTTTTTTTCCCTGTGTTGAATGAAAAGTCCAGGAATGTTGATAATTTTTCTCTCTGAACTCACTCCATTGATTGCTTTTCCAATTGCAGAGCATTAAGTCATCACAATGCTGCAGTTCGTCTCAGTCCGGTCTCTTCCATCACATTGGGTCTAACTTACGCGAATCGGTCGGCTGTCCTGTTTATGCAGAATAATGGCAAAATGTCCATTGCGGATATGGACCGAGCGTTGTCATTGTCGGTTAGTCTCATCATGCTAATTTTGAAACATAGTAACTTTTCATTATACCATTGCTGTGTTCTACATGCAAAAAGAGAGTACTGTACAGTAGATGAGTTGGTTTGGCAAATTTGGGCTGGATTGTCAACCAAGCATTTATTTGAAAAACTCCCGAATACAGAAAGGTTTGTGTGAAATAAAGTGTTCATGAGAAAATTCCTTGGTTTGGTGAATACTGTATATGACACGCATAAGAAACTTTGTCTAGATTAGAAAATATATTTGCAATAGAAAAATGGAAGAAATCGTAAAATTGCAGTAAAAATAAGTCTTTTTATTGTTGTTCCACAAAAGAAAAGAGCAGCAAGAGCCTGCAATTTTTCGCCTTTCTTCTTGTGTTTTTTTCATGGTTTTTGAGCAGGTGATCATGCTTTCTGAAGCCCATGGAATGTGTGAAGACAGTTTTACCAGGAAACCATATTCATAATCTTTTGCACTGCATTTTGCACCCAAAGAACTGCATTATGACAAAAAATACTGACAATTCTCCCAACTCATTAGGAAGGTATTTTCCAAAAAATATCAGAAAGCCAGGATTGAGTGCTAAGTATTCATGTGATTTTTCCTCAAAGCTTCTGAAGTTTTTTGCTCAATTAAAAATTATCTTGGAACAGGCTGAGCACCTTGTGCTTTTAATTTTTGCTCAGGGAATGCCTTGCGCTGTGAGTTGCGTCATTCATAAGAAAACATGGCAATTTTTGGTAACAGAGGCATCTCAAAATTTGACATCCTGCAATTGACTGTGTGAATTTGGTGGGACATCAACCTCCAATTCAACCTCTGCCCTGCAATTCAACCTGCTGAGAGACCCAAAATGGCAAATTCAATGTTTAATACATTCTATTTGACATTGACTCACCATTTTTTCACTTCACATTTCAACCCTAGCCTGGCAATGGATTAGTGTCAAATTGCAGGGCATCACCTGCATGACAATTTTGTCATAGGCACAAATGTATTGTTTGGAAGTGTGGGGAGGGGGGCATTGGAGTTTATTGACTTGTTGAATATAGACAGGTGGCAAATAAATCTTGTACAACAATCAATCAGACAGTGACAGTATGTAATGTGTCCAGGCTTTTTGGACTGTTAACATGGCACTTAATACAAGTCTAGTACAGTTACAAAAATTAACTGACCTTTTGGATGGAAAGAACAGATTATCAAAATAGCAATGATACGGCAAACTGAAAACAAAAACAGGTTAGAATATGGCGTGACAACCTCCATGAATGAGAATACTGCACAGTACTGTACAACAGCAAAGAATCAAAAATGTTCTGTGTGTGTAATGAATGAAATCTACAAATGTGGTGTGAACAATGTTGTTCCATATATACATATGCCAGAGCACCTTCTCTTCTCATGACCACCATTCCATGCTGCTAGAAATGAGGTAATGAAGATTTACAAGCATTGGAAATCATTTAAGAGACCCTCTTCAAATTGCAGGGCATCACCTGCATGACAATTTTGTCATAGGCACAAATGTATTGTTTGGAAGTGTGGGGAGGGGGGCATTGGAGTTTATTGACTTGTTGAATATAGACAGGTGGCAAATAAATCTTGCACAACAATCAATCAGACAGTGACAGAATGTAATGTGTCCAGGCTTTTTGGACTGTTAACATGGCTCTTAATACAAGTCTAGTACAGTTACAAAAATTAACTGACCTTTTGGATGGAAAGAACAGATTATCAAAATAGCAATGATATGGCAAACTGAAAACAAAAACAGGTTAGAATATGGCGTGACAACCTCCATGAATGAGAATACTGCACAGTACTGTACAACAGCGAAGAATCAAAAATGTTCTGTGTGTGTAATGAATGAAATCTACAAATGTGATGTGAACAATGTTGTTCCATATATACATATGCCAGAGCACCTTCTCTTCTCATGACCACCATTCCATGCTGCTAGAAATGAGGTAATGAAGATTTACAAGCATTGGAAATCATTTAAGAGACCCTCTCTGAAATACTAAAGGATCAAGATAAACTGCTGGCCTCATATGATTTCTCATTAAAGATTATCTCTAAATCAGTCATTCAACTAAACCTTATCAGGGAACAGGCTGAAGACATTGTGCTTGAACTTGGGTTCAGTAACTGCTTCAATTGCTTTAATTCTGGCTTATGCTGCAATTCTTCTTACTCATGTCAGGGAAAGAAGGGGTGTACGCATACACATTGGTTGTGCAGTTGTATATTGTGGAATGTATTTTCTTTTATTTTTGTTATCTATATGCAGCTATTGTTTCTGTTTCTCATTCTGAAGTGATTGAATGCTGTTGAATGAATTTGGGTTGGGTGGGGAGATGGTTTGGATGTGGGAATGTTGATTGAACCTTGTGAACACTGAAAAGGGGAAAATAAAGCTTCTGTTCATTCATTCATTCATGTGCATTGCATTGTCATCAATCTATTTCCCATTTTGCCAGCTGCCAGAGCAGATGAAAGACATGATCATGAATCGTCGACAGCGTTGTCAAGCTGCACTGAAAATCGACAGTGGGTCGTCCTGGTCTCGCTGGTTGCTGTCGATGATCACGTCCACCAGTCGACAAGCTGGCAAGTTACGTCGCAAAGTCCGCAATCCCGACTTGATGACGTCGACGCCGAAATCCGGGTGAGTGATGCACACGTACTTTATGTGAAAATTGAACGATTCGTTTTATTTATTTTTTCATCGAAACTGAATTTGATTTGCAAAATCGAATTTGTTTCAATGAGTTATTCATACCGTCTTACGTTCCCCGTCGATCTGTCAGCAGTATTTGACAACTCATTCTCATATTTCGTCATCAAATCAGGGTGAAGTTTTTGGGATGAAGGCGATTCTTTAATAAAGAAGCAAACCTAGAATCCCTCTGAAAATGTGTTGAGCGCTGTGCGAAATGTGCCGGTTCGGAAAAATGTGCTTATGGCACAAATATTGAATGCATTTTTTTCATGAAGGACACTCAAGGTTTAAAAAAATGCTTTTTCGTTTTTTTTTTAGACTATGACCACGTTTCATGTGTGACTTCAAAAAATCGTCTAGACGTTCAAAAACGAGCCCCGGAAAATTTTCAAGGCCACTTAAGTGATTGAGTCAGTGTTTCACTGCCTAGATCCGGACACATAATTCAATGGAAGGAATGAGTCCAAAAAATCACAGCATTAAAAATACAGTAGAAATACTGTACGGTAATTCCTTAAAAAAAACAGTTTTCTGTGACTGTACTATATGGGAAAAGTCACAAATGCAACACATCCAAATTATGTTGTTGCAAGACATGAATACTGTACATCAGTCAACCCGGGATTTACTTCCACCCTGACATGGTATCATGCCAAACATTTCCATAGTGCAAATCTTCCTCATTGTGTTCTTGAGAGAAGCCCCAAGAGAGGGTCAATCCACTTCATGCCGTATAAATATTTGTCATGTCAACAAAATTGGTCAAAATCAAAGAATTTTTTGAAGGATATGATCAAATAACATTAGAAGATAAGTGATGATCACATCCCCATGCTCATGCAGAAACTCAGGTTAATTTTGGACTCACCACTTCTGAATTCACTGACATTTTCTTGTCATAACATTTGGGCATTTTTCTTAGTGGAAGCTTTCATGCTGGAAAAAATGATGATTCCTCAATGAGAGAACCTCATTTAAAATTCAAATGCACAACAATCTCAAACAATTTTTCTCTTTCACTATAGAAAGTATTTGTATGAATCTGAAATATTCAGAAGCAACGAAGAGCAAAGAAATTTCATTCAGATATAAAAATAGTCCAGTGAAGTTTTAAATTATTTATTGTGGCTTCCTCTCTCATATAACAGACGCAGTAACCTAATATTTTTGTAAGCAAACCAATCTTTCTTAAGAAAATAAAACCCCAGCTAAACCCTCCTGTCTTACAATTCCCTTGATTTAGTTCCACCTGAGAGAGGACCTTCAGTTGATAGACTTACTTGGTTCTAGACAAAAGTTTGTTGACCAACAAGCTTTTTATTGGATTTGATTTTCCCACAGACTTCAATTCGAAAGAATTCAATCCATTCTGCCTTTCTGTGAGGGTAAAAAACATTGATCATTGAATATGAAAAAAATCAAGACCATATGAATTACAGTATTAACTTTAATCTGAATAAGTTGTTGCTGCATCTTGTTTGAGCCCATAATATTTCTACAGTGTATTTATAGGGAAGTAGGGCTGATAAAAACAAAGATAAAACACTCAACATCCAGAGAACCACAGACTGCCACATACATGTCAGGTAGAAATGTAATTCATTTTTAATGCTTCAAGTAAAAATAAATTGGACCTTCAACTTTTGTCTGGAACACCTGAACAACTAAAAAAAACCAAGCACAGAAAAGCAAATGATTATATCACAGAATCTATTACATGAAAAATGCAGCTGAAATAAATCTAAAAACGCAAGAATACTCATATTAGAGTGTCAGAAGGGAAGAATTTCCGTATTAGTGTATAGATGAATTACTTGTACTTGAATAGTGACAAAAAAAATCAATCCTTTAAATCAAAATTTCAAATTCTGGATTTTTCCTCAGAGAAAACTTCATTAATAAAATTTAGGTTTGTTAACTGAGGGATTTCTCCTCAGAGCAAGAAGTTGGTTTATCCAGCAGATTATTAAGCACAGGACCACTGTACTGGCTTGATGATGCAAATTGGGCCAGAGGATAAATGATGGCATTTAATCAATGTTTGACTGTATCGTACAATATTTGATATCTGAAATAGATCCCAAATCATTCAATAAAATTTAAATGCAATAACTTTTTGTGTAGTAACAATAATTCTTTTTCTTGCCCTCAATACAGCATTTATGAGTAACCTCAGCTTATAATCAGACTTTCCTTCCCGGATTCCCATCATCAGAAGCCCCCGGGGCGCGGGATCTAAAGAGGGCAACAGTCAGCACTTGTTGAGCAGCCTGGGCATGGAGAACCGTCGGATTTCGGAAGTGCTGAAAGATGGCCCCATGCCCAGTGCATTGCACGACACAGCAACAGCTACAGATTTTGGCACAATGAGCAGCAGCCATGAAGGGCATCATCAGCCACACATGCTGAGTGACGACATCTGCTTGGATGGCACGGATTCCTTGTTCACGGGTCGGCGCAATGCCGTCATCCCGGCTGCTGCTGAGGCCCTCACGATGCACTATGCCCCAGACAAAGGCCGGTTCTACGTGGCCAATCGTGACATTGAACCAGGTCAGGTCAGTTATTCACCTTGCGTTGCTTCGTTTGTCTTGTTTGCCTTCTATATTTTCTATTGGACCTGGAATTTTTCTCTGTATAGTGGACCTTATTTTCATCGGGTGTCCGTTTTCCGTGAAGTGGAAGAATTTTGGGTACTTTTCTGTTATCTCAGTATCATCAGTACCTACTTTCTGTGCACCTACAAGAAACTGTGAATTTAATTTTCCCGCATTCTGCTGAAACTGATTTTGGGAGGCGGTTAGGTAAAGTTAGGTTAGGTCAGGTTCTGTAAGTTAAAAATATCTTTCAATTCACATAACCTGACCTAACCTAACAAATACTGAATTGACGAGAGAAAGAAAAATGGGTACTGAGATAACAGGAACGTACTGAATTTTGCTGGATGCATGCCAAAATGCGTGTGTGTGTTTTTTTTTTTGGAACACAATCTTTGGAATAAGATCGACTGCAATGCCTCTTCGCAGCAATAAACTTTCCATGACGAAAAATTCTCCTAGAACACTGCCCAGCATGATGTAATCAGCATTGGGACGCAATGACATGGACCACAGAGCTTTTTGGTATTTTTTTTAATACATCATGTCATTTGATGACTTTTCATTTTCACCATTATTCTTGAGTAATTTCAGTCCCTTTTTGCTGCATGAGAAATTAATGTGGTTCCTGAGTCTTAATATCCTTTCTTATCAAGTTTGCTTTGCCCCAACAGCATTGTAAATATCTTGATCATCCCCATTTTCTGACTACTGTAGGTGAATTTGTGCTGAATGAGAAGCCCTATGCTTCAGCTCTGTATGCATCCCTGTGGGAGACTCACTGTCAGACTTGCATGCGGCCAGCCATGGCACCATTGCCATGTGACTCATGCGCAGCTGTTGTGTTCTGCTCATCCAATTGCAAGGACGTGGCCAAGGCCACCTTCCATACAGTAGAGTGCCCACACATGGGAGATTTGGCTGAGTTTGCTGTCCGGGATGGTTCAATTCTGCCCCTAAGAATGGTTAGCTGTTTTAAACCATTATTTTATGCTTCATGTCAATTTATATGAGTATACTGCCTCTTTCTGATGAAAAAATTATCAGTTACTGCAGGGAACAGTATTTCAAATCTTATAAACCCAAATACTGTACAGTAAATACAGTGGGGTCCCAAGATATGGCTGTACAGTAATTGGACCTTTGGACAATGTCTTTATGTCAAAAGCATCTGTGTGTCAAATAACATTTTCCCATTCACTTCAATGCTGGGGAGACGTTTTCTTGGTTCAACATTTTCTTGAAAAAATATGTTTAAAATTTTGATCAATAATGTTGTGCATTGATCAAATATTTGAAAGGTGCATGAAAATTGGAAATTTTTGAATATGTTGTATATTCAGTCAACAAAAACCACTGTGCAAAAGAAAAAAGTGCATTTTGTTATCATTAGTCAGCTCGCAAGGAAAATAAACTCTCAATTTCTCAAAAATGTGCTCAAATTTTTCTCCCAGATGAGTGCCACAAATTTCCTTGGAACAAATCTTCCTCAATTTTCCCCTCAAAGGAATCCCCAATTCAGTTGCAACTCACTTTTTGCAACAAATTTCAATGATAAATTTCATTTTTTTTCATTTTCACCATTATTCTTGGGTAATTTCAGTCCCTTTTAGCTGCATAAGAAATTAATGTGGTTCCTGAATCTTAATAGCCTTTCTTATCAAGTTTGCTTTGCCCCAACAGCATTGTAAATATCTTGATCATCCCCATTTTCTAACTGCTGTAGGTGAATTTGTGCTGAATGAGAAGCCCTATGCTTCAGCTCTGTATGCATCCCTGTGGGAGACTCACTGTCAGACTTGCATGCGGCCAGCCATGGCACCATTGCCATGTGACTCATGTGCAGCTGTTGTGTTCTGCTCATCCAATTGCAAGGACGTGGCCAAGGCAACCTTCCATACAATAGAGTGCCCGCACATGGGAGATTTGGCTGAGTTTGCTGTCCGGGATGGTTCAATTCTGCCCCTAAGAATGGTTAGCTGTTTTAAACCATTATTTTATGCTTCATGTCAATTTATATAAGTATACTGCCTCTTTCTGATGAAAAAATTATCAGTTACTGCAGGGAACAGTATTTCAAATCTTATAAACCCAAATACTGTACAGTAAGTACAGTGGGGTCCCAAGCTATGGCTGTACAGTAATTGGACCTTTGGACAATGTCTCTATGTCAAAGCATCTGTGTGTCAAATAACATTTTCCCATTAATTTCAATGCTGGGGAGACGTTTTCTTGGTTCAACATTTTCTTGAAAAAATAATGTTTAAAATTTTGATCAATAATGTTGCACATTGATCAAATATTTAAAAGTTGCATGAAAATTGGAAAAAAACTTATACAACATATAAGTCAGTTGTTTTTGGTGACACGTTTTCTTTTTTCACGTAAAACAATAGTAATCAGTCGAGCGTTCCTTTTATTTGAGAGTTAAAGAGTTTTTACACGAGTTTAAAAAGTTGAGCCAAATTAGAATAATCTATAAAGGAAATCTCCTTTTCTGGTTTATAGCCAAGGCAAATCAGCAAATAACTCAGTCATCTTTCAAAATATTGTACAAGGCAAGTGTAAATATATTTTGTAGCAGCTTGAATGCTGGGCAAAGACAGTATAGAAACTGAGTGACAAAGGAGTATTTAGACACCCTTTTATCATCTTGCACAACCAGACAGTGACGTACCAACAAATAGTAAAATTAATCCAAGATGGTCAAAAGATGAGCAATTGTAGGTGAAGCAATGCCCACTGTAGTACTGGGTGATTTCAGCAACCCATTTGCTGGGGAGTAGAGCTCATGAAGTTCAGATGCCAGACAAGGTAATTTAGGTATGACAAGGGACACAACAAAATTATGTGGATGACAATGTCTTTAAAAAAGAAGTGAGTGGAATATTTTGGAATGTCCACATGTGTCAAATCTATTGTCTCCTCTCACTTCAATAGAATATATTCAATTTGTTCTTGTGTTGATCAAAAATTAGGGATCCAGTCCCCTCCCCCAAAAAATGTAATTTTTTTCTCATCTACAACATAAAGGGAATAACTGTGCAGAAGATGATCTGATCTTTTTCGCCATAAAAATGAGCCCAGAAAGCCAAGGACCACCACAAGTTCACCTGTACTGCGCATACTGCATACTGTATACAATGAAAACAACTCTGAAAAAAAGCACAAAATTAGCCTGTTTTGGATATTGAATAATTGTGAATTTTATTAAAGTTTACTGTTCAGTACTTGTAAACTATGCATTCATAAACGGAAAATTGTCCGATTTATGATGCAAAGTGAGGGAGCACGTTGCTTTTTTCATTGATGTTTCAATATTTGGCAGTAATTCCCTTGTAGTTGAAGCTCTGCAGTTATCACACGAAGTTAAATCTATAGGGAACTCAAATTGTTACTTTTTAAGCGGCAACAAATCCGAACTTTTCAGTAGGTCAAACCTTCCTTTTTTTATTTAGCAAACCTCTTATTTTTCCCTTCAAGTGTTTTAAATGATGATGTATGAAATATTTTTCTATTCATCAATAATCAAATGGATTGATGAGACATTCATGTTGCAGATGACAAGGAAGAATTTGGAATACTTCAGATCCAGACTAGATGCTCTGCACCGCATTGACAAGCAGCGGAATAAATCCGTCATGTCCATGCCACTTATGCATGTAAATTCTGACGAGTACCTGAACGTATTCAACCTTTTGCCACATCTCGGTTTGCGAGAAAAGTATGCCTTGTCAAATGCTGCTGCTTTGGCCCTTTTCTTCACCAAATGCCTCGTCAGCAGTGGATATTTCGGGGCCACTCCCAAGTCAGTTTTATTTTTGTAATTCTTTTCGATGCCGCTATTTTTTTAGAGTGTTAATTTTAGCAGATACCAGCTTCACATTTGTGTTACATTACAACAAATCTTGATGCAGGTGGATTCACTCTACAAAGGTTGTTCCTGCATGCCAATTTGTTTTCTCCCCATGTTATACCTGTTTTTTTTAAATAAAATTATCTCTAAAATACAGTTGTTGGTCACTTGAATTTTGTCTGTAGAGAGAGCCCACCTGTATTATCATAGTACCATACGAGGGTTCTAACAAAAGTTCTTGGAGTTGACCACAAGCCATAGCTGGAGGTGGATGAAATTTTTTTTATTGGATTCCTCATCCTTTTTTAACCTAGAATCAATTTTCTTTTCATCCCTAGACAAAAATGGAAACTGGGGAAAAAATTTTGAATGAGTTTCTTCTGGTGCTGTGCCCACCCATTCTAACAGAAGTTCTTGAAATGAAAATGAAAAAAAAATGTTGGGTCAAAAAAATTTTTGTTATTGACAAAAAACATTCAAGAAACACAGGAAAAAATCTTCAGCTCTGTTTAATGTATTTCCCGCCAATGGCAATGCACTTTTCAATTCAATGCACCCGTTATTGAAAGCAGTGACAGAAACTTTCTTTTTCAATGTTTTCCAGCTCCTCAGTCACAGCAGAAATCAGCTCTTGCCTTGATCCAAACACTTTCCCTCAAAGCCCTTCTTTCACAGTTGGAAACAACCAAAAATCACAGGGAGCAAGACCACGGGAGTAAGGAGGAGGAGTCAAAAGCAGAATGCACAAATTTGAAATGAAATCAAGAGTTTTCAAAGCAGTGTGCGCAGGAGCATTGTTGTGGTGCAAAGTTGTAGAGCATGCATGTGCACAACTGCTCTTTTGTCATGGGTGGGCACTTCACCAGATAGGACTCATTCATTTTTTTTTAAGTTTCCATTTTTGTCTAGGGATGAAAAAAAAAGATTCTAGGTTTAAAAAAAAGGTAAGGAATCCAATAAAAAAATTTCATCCACCTCTGGTGATGGCTTGTGGTCAACTCCAAGAACTATTGTTAGAACCCTCGTATACACAAAGTCAGTAAACCATGCATCATCCTGTCTATATCTGAAGTTAAAATGGACCTGGAGCTCTGGACACAATAAAACTCCATTCCTGCTGCTGAATGTAAAAAAAAAAAAATTCCTAGGGATTTCTATGGCAAACTTTGAAATTTATGGAGTGGACACTAACTTTTACACAAAATTTCTTGAATATTACGTTCGATAAGACATAAGGACGTAACATTATATAGAGGTCTTTTTCGTCTTCACTCCTTATTTTTAGAGTCTTTTATTTAATTTCTCTCACTACCAGAAAAATTACTCAAAATACAGCTGGTGCCCCAACAATCTGACCATAATCCATTGCCATCAGGTCAGGTTTGAATTGCAAATCAGTCAAATTGTGAGACAATGTCAAATTTGATCTTTTCTACATTGAATTTAACATCTTGAGTCTCTCTGCATGCAGGTCAAATTTGGGCCAATTGGTCAAATTGCAAGTGAATGTCCCAGGAAATTTGATGGTCAAATTGCATGGTACCATCTGCATTTAAAGCCATAGTTGTATTATTGGAGATTACATCAATACTTTTTCATCACAGCAAAGTCCTTTGAGTAAATTCAACTTTCAATGATTTTGAAGACAGTGGTTTTATACATGTGTGATACAGTAGAATCTCATTACAACGAATCTCGTTTTAACGAATTTTTGCCTACAACGATTTTTTTTCAAAGTCCTGGTAGCTATCCTTAAGGAACAGCCTAAATTAATCTCATTATAACGAATTTCTTTTCTAAAGTCTCTCCGGTTATAACGAATTTTCTCCCAAATTTTTAACATTTTTCATTTGGCTTCTACAGATGATGAAATGTACACTTCTGTTAATAAATCCATCAATCTCGATATAACGAATTTTTGTTTACAACCAATTTTTTTTACAGTCCCTGGGAGTTCGTTGTAATGAGATTCTACTATATATAGACAGCCATAAAAATCTGTCAAGCTTTCTGGGATATATGTGAGCCAAAAAATATGCTTCCGCACTTCAAATAAGGTTTATATATCTTGATGAGGTTCAAAAATGTTGATCCTCTCCACGAGAATAATTTTGCGCGCTGGTGAGTGAGCAAATGTCGCGGAGACAAATTTTTCTCGGCAATTTTGAAATGTATTGCTGTTTAGAGTCCTGGAGCAGGAATTTCTGTTGAATGGCGATTGCTGGCTTCAAATTCAAAATTTAGTTTAGTTTTCTAAATTATATTTTGTTTTTCTCGCCAAAAACTTGACTTTTGTTGGACATCCGAGCATTTTAAGCATTGAACTTCACCGTTGGAGGGACAGAAAAAAAGCTTGGGTCTTTGACAATAACGGTTTTTTTATTTTGCGGGTGTCTTCTTCAGACTGGAAGATACCGCCATGATATCACGGTTGATGTTTCATAATTTAATGGCATTCGAGTGCAATTACTTCACGCTGTCGCAGTCGGGCATCACGGAAGATCACGCTTACGTGGACCTGGATGAACGAGGCATGGCAGTGTTTTGTGGGGCCAGTATGTTCAATCATTCCTGCAACCCCAACGTAACCCACTACTTCTTGGAGGACAACATCTTTTGTCGGGCGAATGGCGTCATTGCGAAAGGTGTTTTTTCGTTGTTGCTATTGTATAGCCACTGGCAGGAGGCTTAAATTTTGAGACTTTTGAATGCATTCAAGTACAGTACCGTACACGGAAGACCTGATTTATTCCACTGAGACCTGTACCTCAGTTTTTCCGCTCAAAGTTCGGAAAAAATTCCATGCTCACTCAGTTAAGGCATAATGCACCGTAGTTTTCAGCAATCAAAATCCGTTTAAAAAATACACATTAGATGATATATAAATCTAAATGCAAGCCCATCTCAGACGTTGAGTTTTGTCTCATGCCAATTATAGAAGTATTTGAGAAAAGAACTCCAGGAAAATGTGAAATTGGATGAAATTAATTTGATTTAAAGTGTGTACCGAACTATGATGCACATCCCCCTTTTTTCTCCAGCATCTCAGAAAAGAGGTGCACTTGATAGTACTTGTCACGAATTTTCCCCTAAAAATATTCCATGAGTAAAACACCACAAGCAGCCTGGAACTGGCTGACAGCCTCTTTACAGAGGCTCTAAGAAATGTATGTATATTCATTGATGCCCCAAAAGAATCAGCAACTCAGCATCTTCTTTGAGAAAAATACACACACATAATAATTCATTATTTTTCAGAGAATTGGTTTAGTAAGTGGCAGCTGAGAGTGGGGATGAGACTTGTAATGAAAATATGCTATTGGTTTCAAGTTTTTGAGGATTTCATGCATTAATGAGGAAGGGTTGTGTTAAACTTGTTCTTGGTGATGGTTTGGATTCTTTCCTGCTTTATCTGTTTGGGCCCATTCACAACAAAATGGAAGAAAATGTGTGACATTGTCGTATAAGTTTTGAAGGTTCTTGGGGAAGTTCTTTGGGGTTAGGCTCTTTTAAAGGCCCAGCCCTGATTTCAGATATGCAGGGCGGTTGATTTATATACTGTAATTATATATGGGCCTGCACCTCAGTCATCATTCCCCAACAATACTTGAATGAATATGGTACAGAATTTCACTTTGAAGTCAACTAGGGAACACTTGATCTAAAAAATCTTCCCCAACATGTAAATATATGTCTCAAGATTCCAAGTTTCAAATGCCTTTCCAAAATTTCAGAATGAATAAAACATATTTATATTTTGAATTTTTTAAATCTCAAACAAATTTAGCTTTTTATATTAACATAAATGAAATAACAATTATAAAGAACTCTGATTCATGTTCGAATAATTTCAAATTTATCATTTTTTCTGAGTTTTTTCTTCTATGTTTGCACAGCATGGCAAAACTTGTTTTTTTATTTTGGCATCATGTGTGGTTCTCTTCCGAATAGTTATATACTGTATCTTTAAGCTGAGAGAAATTTGCATCATGGAATACGCTTGAGCTTGTGTGCTGCTTGAAAATATTTCATCATCTCATCTCCACTGTTAATTTTATTTCAAGGGATGAGACATACAGTAGGAACCACCCCCTTCAAGATGTCAATATGAGCATGGACCTTGTCTCTAAATCAGAACATCTGCACGTTGGAAATTGGTTTCCATAGACTTCAACATAAATACTTTCAATTTGTTCTCTGTAGATCAATAATTGATAGAATGTATCCACAAAATAAGATAAAACACTTTTTTCCACTTCAAAATGCAGAAAATAAATATACAAAAGAAAATCACACAGAATCCGAACTGTTATCGCATGAGAATGAGCTCATGAAGTGAAGAAAAATTATAGGTTTTACTATAGTGAGCACACATGATGAACAACAACATATAAAAGCTGAAGAAAGAAACACAAAACTAGCCAGTTTCTGATCATGAATTAGGGTAATTTTGATATTCACAGAATTTTTAGTCTTTGTGAGTGTAAACAGCTGAAATTCTTCAAGAAATAAGAAAGTTGGAAAATTAAATTTTGAAATTTTCAAGAAATGTTGGAAAAGTGTCTGTATGCCAATACAATTAGACCACAAGATGTGAACAAAATTGATGCATCAAGAGTGTCTCTAAGTTGAAAAGTTTCCAAGTTCAGTCTTATTTTCCGAGCATCAACTTACATTATATAATTTTCAATTGGTGTTTCATGGAAGAAATATTCATCAGAATTCCATGAAAAAATGTTTGCCAATTTGATTGTATTCTGTGCTTACCTTTCAACTCCAATGCTTGGAACATTGAATAGTTTACATCTGTACAGTACATTGCATTGTTGGAATCTTCAACAATAACATTATATTAACGAATAGATAAGGAATAAGTCCCTCTGTGTAATATATAGGTAATTTTTAAATTAGGTGAATGCATGGGAAAAATGATGGGAGAAATGCCAAACAATTTTTCTTGCATAGATCCTGGGGTTGGAAACATCTGTTTCTTGCAATTCAGCCTGATAAAATCACTTTTCCTGAAAGGTATGAATGATTTTTTCTATGCAATGTCAGCAGGTTGAGTCAGTGTTTGCATGCTGGGGCTTTTTTTTGAAAAATAAAATGTCCCTATGTGTCAAATTGTCTGCATGTTGAGGTTTCTGCATGTGGGGGTCTCATTGTATATTGTCCAGATGTCAGGTTAGATTTTCTAAAGTTTGAAGTGTTGCTGCATTGATTCATAAATATTTGAGGATGTCCGCATTCCAGGGTCCCACTTATTTTCCTTTTCTTTCACAGGACAAGAAGTGAACATCAGTTATGGACAATACTTTCATCTGGCAGACAGAGAATATCGCAGATCACACCTGAAGGAAAGCTATTATTTCTATCCCTGTTCATGTGATGCATGTGAGGAAAACTGGCCGCTCATGGAAGACATTGTTCCTCCAGCCAGATATCAGTGTCCAAAATGCAAATTGTCAATTGAATTGGAGAGCCTGGAGGAGATTTCAACCAAGTCATGCAGTAAATGCAACACTTCCTTCCAACCCTATGTTGAGGCTCTCCAACAATTGAAGAGAGATGCTGAGAATTTTGTCACTGAGGTGCAGTGTTTAATCCTTTCAAAACTTTGTGATTTATTCCATCTTTCAAGATTTACATTCATGTTTCTCAGACCAAACTACAGGAGAGACTCGTTGAGAGAACTTATATTTCATCATCAAGCATTTCATTTTTCACTTTTAGGACATGCAGTTGCAAAAATACCAACTTCAATAATGCATAAGGGTTAGTTACACCTAACCTGCATCAAGCATAAGTTAATTTTATGCTTTTGAAAATGAATTTGATGAGCATACATAAAATCTATAAATGCTGAGGTTGCAGAGAAAGATATTCTTGAAAATGTAAATTTTTATTCTACTATTGTTGGGGAACCAGAACTTGGGCCCAGGGAGGTCAGGTCCTGGGACCTGAATTTTCGTCCAGTTTTCCTTGGTGCATCCACTTCCCGGATGCATGACTTCTTCAATGCATATTTCTCATGTCAATCACAAATGGGAAGAAAGTTGAGTGCCTTGAAAAGATTACCTGACCAAGGCACTCAACTTTTTCAGGTTTACCTGACCAAGGCATACAGGAAAATCATATAGGAACCCAGCACTTTTCCACTCCCAATAATCAGCCCTTTAATTTAGCTCTTACTGTAAAGTTCCCTCAAACAGTTCAACACCAATTCTTTTGATTGAATGATTCCATTGCATTACTGCACCCTAAATTTGTGTGCAGAAATTTATCGTATTCATTAAATGTGTGTTGCAATATAGAATTTATTGTGATGTAATATTTTTGTATGGTCTTTCATTGTGATTTATTTTGGACTGTGATAAAACCAGACAAAACTAGGGATATGTAAATAAGTTACCCCCTTAATTGCATTTTCCTGGCTACAAACTAGATGATTGCCCTGACTTATCATTTCTCACCATTTCTTCCACTGCACTATGGTTCAATTCTTTATATTGGGTTGGTTATAATTCCTCAATGCTATACAATATATAGTTATGGATATGGATTATATACTCACTATGCTTGATTTTCTGAATTTAGTTTGAGTGACTGCTGCTGAATTTGACTCAACAGCACACCTCTTATCAGTAATGGATGCAAAGATTTCTGCACAATTGAATTGGCATGAAAAAATGTGATTTATTTTTGCAGGTTCACAGTGGCAAATTGAAGCGTATTTCAGACGCCATTGTTGCTCTTGGGAACTACCAAAAAGCTCTGTGGTCCATGTCATTGCGTCCCAATGCTGATTACATCATGCTGGGCAGTGTTCTAGGAGAATTTTTCGTCATGGAAAGTTTATTGCTGCGAAGAGGCATTGCAGTCGATTATTGAAGTGACTTACTCCATCTTTTGTGTGAATGTTTGTGCTTTTGGTTTTTTTTTTAATACATCATGTCATTTGATGACTTTTCATTTATTTGGGCATCTTTTAAAGAAGACGTGAAAACATGGAGACATTTTTAGCGCCTCTAAAGAAGCAAGTGATTTAAATACGGGCATTCATTCATGGGAACTTCTGTAACGTGATTCCTTGTTTGTAGTCGCCTGATTCGATGAAAAATGCAATCGAAAAATTAATTTCTTTCGAATTGAAGCTTCATAACTCTCGATAATTTTCGATTCTTGATATTTCTGGCAGCGTTGAGAATTTCAAAATTAACTCTATATTTGAAAACATCCCCGCAAAGCAGAAATTTCCGCCAAAAATAGGGATATAACGCAAATATGATGATGATACAAGCAGATAAGAAAATTTGTTTTATGCGTAATTCTTCCGTGAAGTCAACTTCCGTTAATTGTGATGGATCAAGAAACAGTAAAAAATAAAAAAGGTATTATCAATGGTAATATTTCTAGAGACAGAAAATCGCAGATGACTTCTTTCCTTTCATGCGTCTACGCTTTTATAAATTCTCAGTATAGTTCGCGGTTATATTTTAAGCAATACCTGAAAAATAAATGTAATACGAACTGTATTAACTTTGTAGTATTTTTTAAAATTACATTGCAGTGAATTTTATTCATCGGTTCCGTGTGAATTGGTGTAAGATTGAACGCAATCAGCGAATTTGGTTGTGATGTGGGCAAACGAAATCTTTTTTTCAAATAGTCCACAGCTTCGAAAAACAAAACGATTTGTGGATTCTTCGATTAATTTTGAAAAAGTTGTAACTTTCCAGTTTCATGGAATTTCATCATGTTCTGCGCCTGTGAAAGTTCATCAATAAGCGGACTGGAAAACGTAATATTTCCAACAGAAAATTGAAATATCCTCGGAAATTTTTCAGTGCCTCTATCTTTCCCAAATATGGTTCGGATTGATAAACTTCGAGTTCGTTCTTCTTCAGTTGCTTTACTGGTCACCGTGATGATACTTTTCCTCAGCCTCCCAGAAATTATTCGCTTTTACAAAGAATATGTCACGAAGGTTCAAAAACATCGAGCATTTAGGACCGAATTTAAGCGCAAAGCTGACGAGCATTTTCGAAAAATCAAGCCATCAAAAATCCCGGAAAATGGGATTTACTTTCTGGAAACATCAGGCTTGCCCATGTTGAGCCCCAAACAGCTCTGTGCTGTCGAGTCAGCAGCTCTACATCATTCCAACAGACCCGTCGTAGTGGCAGTGAATAACGAATTCCTTCAATTGCCCTTTTTTGTGGACATCTGGTCCGAAATCTACCCCAACATCGCATTCACGAGACTGGAAATTCAAAACTGGCTGAATGGCACAGTGCTCGAGTCGTGGTTGTCCAAACATTTGCTGGATTCCAGTGGCTACAAAACTATTCACACCAGTGATGTTTTGAGGTCAGTGTCAATGGTCAACAGTCAACTTATCTGCTTTTAAAATTCTGATTTTCTTTGCAAAAAGTTTTGCCCAAGAGCACTAAAATTCAAAATAAATGATACAGACCTATAATGGAAAAAGTTCACTTTTTTCTACAAGGTAGGAGGAAATTTTGGCTTTAAAAATCAGAATTCCTTATTCATTAGTGGCGTGTTTATTTTATTGCATACCTGCATTAGGTTTTTAATTGAACGTTTCTGTTGAAAATTATATTTACGCTTCCCAAATTTTCCCCATCTTCATACTGACTTCTCAACCAAGATGCATTAAACCTTTGGTCAAACCAAAGTATGCCAACGTGCAAAAGAAATCTGACTTTGTCTCAGGATAGGAGAGTCCAGGCATTGGCTATGGAATAACCAATTTACAATCAAGATGTGCAACATTTTTCTTTAGAAAATTCAAAACTTTTCCAATATGTTTTGCTATGCCCCAATGCTTCAAGAAAGACTGATTTAACTATTTGTGACATAACAAATGTTTTTCTGCAAGCAGGCAGCATGCATAATATGGTGCAAGTGGTGTACCTCAAAATTTAACCCTAATCCTATGCCAAACTGGGGTTGCTTTGCAAAACAGTTGAATTGAAAGAAAATTTGTGAAATTCCCAAAATATCAGTATAAAAATGCAAAAAAATGTCCAAAACAGGTTGAATTGCGGGGCAAGGGTCAAATTGCAAGTCAACGTCCTTGCAAATTAAATCCTCCATTTGTGGAATAGTCAAATTGTGGGAGGTTGAATTGCAAGGTACCACCTGTACTGAAACTACTCTCATAAATTCCAAGAATTGAGGCTGGTAGATAATAACTGAATGCTCTCAAAATAATTGGAACAAATAGTAGACAAATTAAGGGAGAGGGCATGTGAATTGAAAGAATCCTATGAATCATTTTTGTTCAAAATAACGAACCGCCAGGCAAGGGCACTGTTAGCCTGGGGAAGGTTACTACTTACCAAACTCAATTCTCTTCACTGCAAATACTGACCCATGTCTAACTACCAGGATCCCCCACCCTCAGAGTTTTAGCGGGATCTCGGACATGGATCTGCTCTGAATAGAGGGATGGGTTGGGATTTTTTATAGATTTGGGACAGTGAAGAGAATTGAGTTAGGTAAGTAGTAACCTTTCCTAGGCTAACGGTGCCCTTGTCTGGGGGTTTGTTACTACACCCTAACTAATTCTCTTCACCGCGAATCTTTAGAATCGGATTCAAAAGTCCAAGATGTTTTCATGTGCTGTTAAGCATTTTTTTTGTGTATGTTTTTCACATGAAGAAAACTGATTGCTTTCCCAACAGTTTTTTGGTGGAAAACATTTTTGATTTACACTTCAATGCACAGTTGCTGTCGTAAAACACTCATCACTTGTTTATGGCAGTTTCTTTCTGCCTTCTGCAAGCCCTAGTATGCAACGCAATTCTGTCCCTGGGGATCGGCACTTCCATCTTTCTCTTCCTGCCTGGAATGACTTTATTGCCAATGTCTGGCGGTATACCCTCCCTAGGTTCTTTCAAAAAATGCATCCTTAAGTTTATTTTTGGCCTGTGAATGGATCTGTGCAAGGAAGTGCCTGGCGCGCAACTGCTGCTGGGTGTCGGCGGGTCCATTAGATTTTGTCCCTTTTTGTCAGCTGTCTGTTGTAATGCCTTTGGAAAGTAGTTTCTTGTTTCCATCCTGTAAGCTTTGCAATTGAGTTAAATGATCTATTTTTAGCCCATGCAAAGCTTGCTGCTGCAGATCTTGTTGATCCTGGCATATCATTTATTCCCATTTCAGCGAGTATTTTTATGAGCCATTGGCGTAACGTTGATTTTTGAACTTGTTAGCCATTATCCGCCCTTACAAATAAGTAGGGTGATCTTGACTCAAATTGTGTTATTTCCACATATCTTTATACCAGGTTTATTGGGCATATACGATGATCTGTTGTATATGGTGCAAGGCAAATACCTGGTCAGGTTTGCTGTGTGGCTGCTGATGTTTTCTGCATACTGAGGAACGGGATGTAAATATCCTGTCCCTCTTGCCAAAATTCTTTTCCCAATTTGGAAATGTCGTTGACTCGTAAACCCGTAGCTAGGGCTAAAATGAGCAAAGTTTCTTTGGCTTGTTCAAGTATGGATGTTGGATATTGTTGATCACGTATGTTGTTGAGTAAGGTGTCTGCATCCCATACTGATGTTTTGGGATCAAAGTTCTGTGAGCTTTGTTTTGCACCCTTCATGAACTGTTCCAATTTTTGTTGGTCAATGGCGGATGCTTTGCCCTGGTCCGTGAACCATTCGATGACTGCTGCCCTGATTTGGCAAATGTATCCAAACAAATATGTTTGAGGTACTGAGGTATATACAGCTAGGAATCTCAGCAAGGTATTGGACGTAATTGTACGTACATTTTGTCCAACTTGTTCTGCAACTTTTAAGAATTCCCTTGTAATTTCTTGGTATTGTTTCTGTGTAGTTTTGGCCCTTGCTGCTGCGATAGTTTTTTGTACCACATTATCTAAGTGTTGGGCTGAAAAAGGGTTGCTTGCAGGTCTGATTTCTGAAGATGATGACATGCTGTTAGATTTTGCGGCAGACATAACATTTCTGCTAGGCTTGGGAGGTCCAGATAGGTTACTTGGTATTTGAGTAGTTGAGGCCACCATGGTTGTGACGGCCACTTTGGGTGAATGAGGATCCCTGATATTTGCTCATCCTTTAATTTTTGTATCACCCTGGTGAGTAATGCAAATGGAGGAAAGAAATATCCAATTTCATTATTCCAGTCTTGTAATAATGCATTGGTGTATGCGGCTTGTTTCTCAAAAAACCAGGAGCAATATCTTGGTAGTTGCGTATTTTGTGCTGTAGCAAACCAATCGATTGTTGGAAATACTTGAAAATGTTTGCATATTTCTTCAAAGTAATGCTGTTTTAACTACCATTCCGCATTGAGGTTTTTGCTTTGTATCTTGTTAGTATTCTTGTTAGCTCATCTGCAGGATTTTTGGCTGATGGTATATATATTGCCTTTGCAGTTGCTTGATTTTCCTCAACAAATTTCCATAATTCTTGCGCCTCTGCGTTTAGTCTATTGACCATTCCTCCTGCCTTATTGGTATAGGTTACAGCGGTCATATTATCCACTTGGAAAATGATAAAGGCACATTGGAAAATTATCCCTTTTTGCTTGAAGGTTTCTAGCGCCATTCTTAGGACTTTGAGTTCAAGTAGATCAATTGCATCTTGATCTTGGATCCTCCAAGTTCCCAATATTTTTTGTTTGCCCAGTATTGCTCCCCATCCTCCTGATGTGAATGCGTCTGTTGTAATTTTATGGGTAACTTTGGGTTGTATGAAGGATTTTTGGCAAGGGTGTTTCAGTTTCTCCCACCAGGATATATCTTGTAGGAGGTGTCTTGGTAGGTTGATCTTTTGATCCCAGTCCAAGATTGGTTGTTTGAGTTCTGCCTTGACGTTTTCAAATGATCAAAAATGCGCTTCTCCATATGGTATTGCCTGTGTGCAGCTAAGCATAAAACCAACTTTTTGTGCATATTTTCTCAATTGAATTTGCATTTGTTGGCGGCATATTTGTTTAAGAGTTTTCAAATCTTTTTGCAGATGGTTGTATTTCTTCTCTGGGAGTTCCAAAACTTGTAGAGTGCTATCAATAATGAATCCGAGGTGCTTTCTTCTTGTACTTGGTATTAAACGTGATTTTTCTTCATTAATTAGAAAACCCGCATCCAGTAAAAGTTGTTGACAGGTATGCGTATGCTGAGCAAATTCCAAGTTTGTAGACGCAACCACAATTGTGTTGTCTATGTATGCATGAACTCAAATTCCCTTTTGGCATGCAATCTTTAGCAGGGTTTTCATAATTATTGTGAACAGCCTGGGTGCTTCTCTTAATCCTATTGGTAAGGCTGTAAAAATATATATTTGTTCTTTCCATGTAAATGCAAAATACCATTGATGTTCAGGATGCAGGGCCACATTGTGATATCCCTTAGTCAAGTCAACTGATGTCATATAATCTCCTTTTTTTATTCCTTGGACTACAGCTGCAAGGCTTTCCATTTTAAAATGCTTATAGGGAATGCATTCTTTGTTGACTGCTTTGCTGTTGAGGATCAGTCTTTATGAAGTGTTGTGATTTTTTACTGCAAACTTGGATTAATCACTAAATCAGGGGTCCATTCTTGCTGTTGTATCACTTTGAGTTGGAGAAGATCCCTGACCAGGGTATCTGTGGCGTTAATATCTTCTTTAAATTTCATTGGAGGGTTGTTGTGGGATAATTCAGTTGGCGGTATTTTAAGAAAGTCAATTTTCACTCCTGTTATCATTTGTAAAATCCATGGATCATTGGTAATTCCTCTCCAAAATTGTATGTGGAAACGGAGTCTGCCTCCCACCATACAATCTGGAATTTTACTGACCTTCAATTTTGCCTGGCCTGCCAACTGGACCTGCCCCTGTAGTTGTTCTGGGGCTGTTTGTTGTTCTGATGATGGAATTTGTTGGGTTGGCCTTCCCCCAAAAAATGCTGGAAACGATTCTGTCCTTGCAGTTTTTGGTATGGTCAAGGTCTAAATGGTTGATGACCTCCTCTGACACTCAGAGATTTTCCTCGCCAATTTTGCACTTTTTGGAATTGCGGATGCAACGCTTGGTCTGCTTTTACCAATTGGTCAATTTCTTTCACCAACTTGCTGTTGGAGAGATTCACCCAACTTTCACCAAACAATTGGTTTGGAATGCGATTATTCTGAAACGCTGCTCTCACATTTTCATTTGCATGGCTTTGCACATTTTTCTTTCTTTCTTCTTGCAGCATCATGTATGCATTTGCAAGTGCCTTTAGGGTGTTTCCCATAGTATCACGAAGGGTTTCATTTAACCCCTCATCAATGAACACTTTTATCAATCCATTGTTAATGCACATTAAAATTGACTGGATTTTTGTAACATACTATCTGTTACTTGTGCTGGCTTTGTCAATGTATTCCATAGAGGATGATTGATCCTCAGCACCTTGCCTACCACGGTATTCCCTACCGATGGCAGGATTTTAGCAAATTCACTCACAATTTCTTTTTGCATACACTGGGACATCAGGTTTTTATAGATTTTTTTGATCACTTTTTTCGCGATATCTCCAAGAACACCAATTGGTTCCTTGTCCTGGAGCCCAGGTAAAAACCTGGCCAGCGTATCATTTCCATTGTGCATTTCAGTTGCAGGGATCCCATCCTCATGATCCTCATGAGTGGACTGCACTGATTCCAAGGGCTTCTCTAACAGTTCACCCTGGACAAGTTTGTCTATCGCATCTGTACCCGATGGATAAACTATATATTAGTATATAGACATTTTTATATACTCTTTTATGCTTGCCTTCTGGTATGGGTGATTTGGCAAGGGATGACTCGTCCTTGCTAATTTGATGGTTTTCTGAGAATGACTCACTCATGATTTTATATCAAATTTCCTGTAAATATAGAAATGATTGTAAATTTTTGGTGGATCACTGGTATTCTAAATTTTTGCAAAAGATAAATTTGGCCTACTGGTACACATTTGTACATCAGTCTAAGAGGCCTGAATACCCTGCGCAAGGGGTGTTCCGCATGTGAGCTGTTGCTCCAGCAAGGTTCAGATGGGTTCTGAGGGTGGGGGATCCTGGTAGGTAGACATGGGTCAGTATTTGCAGTGAAGAGAATTAGTTAGGGTGTAGTAACTCTGTATATACGCATGTCTTCAGAGCTTAAGAAAGTAGCTTGACTCTTCATCATTCTGGATGCCATCCTTTCTCATATCCAAAAGAAAGTTTTAATCAAAATTTTTTTTCCATAATTTATGTAAGTTTGTATCCTCCTTGCCTTTCTTTACATCTATCTCTGTAGCCATATATGTTTTGAAAATTAACAAATAATGGCCTGTCTCTAATAGAAGCCTTACTGCATAAAATTTTCAAAGAAAAGGGAACTTTCAATGGATGCTAAAGCGGTACAAGTTGTAACCCAAAATTTGACCCCAATCTGTTGTTGGACTAGGATCAAATTGCAGAGTGGTTGAATTGTGAGACAATGTCAAATGACATGTTTTCCATGTGTCATTTGATGTTTTGTGTATCTCTGTAAGTTGCATTGCAGAACCAAGGTCAAATTGTGAGTTGACCACCCAGTAAATTCAGCCATTGAATTGCCAAATGGTATACTGTAATTGACGGAGGTTGAATTGCAGGGTACAACTTGTATTATTTGGATCATTTGCTTTACCATGAATGCTCCAATAAATGCCAAGTCTCCAAAAGTTGCCAGTCTTATAAATTCCAGGCCTCAAAAGAGCTTCCAGGCCTTCAATAGTGGCTGGGGCAAGAAGCGGGGGAGTAAAAAAAAATTCTCAGAAAATTATCATTTTGCTGACCCTGTTAATCCTTCCCTCAATCTAGCCTTGAACACAATAATGAAATCCTGGAAGAAACTACTGTATATGTAGTACATTTCAACTCGCATGTTTCTGAAATTTTGTAATGACATTGAAAACAGCACCCATTGGTTAAATCTTTGTTGAATTGTACTGTATTTCCTGGTACAAAAGTATACCCTTTTTTTCCTCATCCTGCCCAAGAAGGTATGCTACTCTTTTCAAATATGGAGGATTGTACCTGGACACGGATGTCATTGTGATCAAGTCTATGACTGATCTTGTGAATGCTTTGGGCATTGAAAGCAATGACCTGATAAACGGTGCGGTGATGGCATTTGTGAAGCATCATCCGGTTATGAAATGCTGCTTGATGGATATCTTGAGCAAGTGCGTTTGTATGGTTCCAAAATCATTTTTTAATCTGGTAAAAAGTTCATCTGTCTTTCTTTTCATTCCCAGGAACAATCAGAGTAACTTTAATTATATCGAAAGAAGGATAATTGAAAGATCAATGGACAGAATTTTTGGACCAAAATTGTACTTTCTCTCTGTGGACTTTTTATTGGCAACTTTTGGGCAAAGGAAATACACTTTTGGAATGAAATTAAACCCGATTCAAATTTTCACATCCAGCTGAAAGGTATTTACGCTTGTCCAAAATCAAAGACAATACATAGATATGGTAAGTACTTCGAAATTTTTGAAAAGCTTCAAAAATATTGATTTGACGGAAAAAAAAAATGCAACACCAATTTAAAACCTTCAAAATACAGGATACCATGCAGTGATTGAATCAGTTCACTTTTGGAAGGTATATACTGTCATCTCTTAAGCAGTGCACAAAAGTTTCATCAAACAGTGGGGCCCATCACAGATGCAGATGTGATATTTAACTTGTTGATCAAATATTTAAAAAATGTTCCAAGAACTGAATAAATTGATTTCATCAACATGAAGGTACAGAAAGAAAGACTGCTGAAAAAAACCATGAAAAATATTATCAGTTGGTATGGATACAAGCAGAAGTTTTTCTTGAATGCTGTGCACAGATGATAGAAAGAGCTCAGGAAAGAAAGCTCAAAATTAGTGTATATCATTAAATTATGAATCACAGTGACTCCATAATGAAACTTTTTGTTGGGATGAAATCCTCAATTTGTTCCATCTCCTTTTGAAAAATGATTTTGGTAATTCTCTAGAAATTTTTTTGAATAGTCCATATTTTAAAGCGCTTTCCAGATGTCATGGCAGTTTTTTTTTTTTTTTTAGTTTCAAACGTCCCTGAGTAGAATTGTCTGTACATGTGTGGGATTCCGCAAGTCAGGGCCACACTTGATTTATATTCTGAATCGAAAGAATCCTATCAAGAGAAAAAATCAGAAAATCCGAAATTAAATCAGTAAAAATATCGCAAGTGACATTTTTCATATAATTTATTTGCCTGTAAGTGTTTCCAGTGTTGCCTCTCCACAATGGTGTTCCTCCACAATCCGCGTGTCTTGCTCTTCCCACAGCATAGAGTAGAAAAAGTACATGAAATCCAGCAGGAAATCTATTCATTTCTGACCATTCATCTCAATCATAGTTTTAAAATACTTTCTTCTATAGGTACAACTCGTATAACTCAAAAGGATGGGCCGAAAGTGGACCATTATTAATTTCAAGAGTAATTCGGCAGTACTGCGGTTGGAATGATTCATCAGACTTCATTCCTGGGGCATGTAAGGATGTCAAAATCTTGAACACTAGTGAGTTGACATTAATTGCTCTTCCAAATACAGATGCGGATTACCAGAATCGCAAATCGCTTAGAATATTACCTAAAAGGTAATGTTAAATTTGTGCATATCTTGAGAAAACCGAAGACAAAGAGGAATAATTTATCAAATTCAGATCCTGGTGGCCAAATTTCCCGATTAACCGATTGCTTACAAATTTCAATATGTTCTGCACATTCAGTGCATCTTCGGAGCATATCATCAAATTTACTGTAATGTATTGTATTTGTGTTTCCATGAATTCTTTATATATTTATAAAAATGGATTCCTGTATATTTTAATTTGTTTCTGCAAGGGATTGAGTTAAACAAAATGTAAAGTTTCATTTGAAATCACGATGACAAGACATATTTGCATTGCTATGATGAGGCACTCTTGGTCAAATTCATAATACATGTGGTACCTTGCGATTGGACCCCAATCCGTTTCCAAACTAGGGTCAAATTACTCAAATTGCAAAATAGGTTGAATTGCAAGTCACTCTGTGAAATTTAAAAATGTAGGTGCAAAAGTACAAGAATAATAGAAAAAGGAGGGTGAATTGCAGGGTAGCAACAGTCAAATGACAAGTCAACCTCCTTGCAAATTTGACTAACAATTTGTCGGATGAATGAAATGCAGGAGGTTGAATTGCAAGGTACCACCTGTATATCACAGACTGATTGAATTCAAAGTACACTAACACATCTTTTGTAATCCCATTCATGGAGCGTTGCAAGATTATCTTGACTTCATGCAATTGCAAATCCACCAAGGAAAAGAATGGGTGAAGGACACTTGATAGTTGGTTTTAAAAACCAAGATTAGTTGTGCTTTGACTTCCTGATTAATAGTGAAGACTGATCCTATAGTGGGGTGAAAATCTGTTCATTTCTAGTACACTTTTAAATGCTGCTTTTTGGGATCAAATCAATGAGCAGAATGAAAAAATCCAATTTTGACAAAATACTTATATTAGGTTGAGTTCTCAGTCGGAGAGGTCAGAAATTAGAGAAAGTTTTTAAAATGACTTGTTTTTTAGGACTGATCCGATATAATCAAATGTTAGATGCAGGTACTTATTGTACTTTCAGAATTCTTCACAACAGATAACGTATATTTTTTCAATAGGTGCCTTTTATCCAGTGCATTACACAGAATGGCCCAGACTGATTCATTCTGATGTGGATATTTCTGCCAAAGCATTGAAGGAAACGGAGGAAAGTTATTTGGTACATTATTGGGGTCGACTTTCTGTTGATGAAGCCATTCAACTCAATACACCTCAAGCCCTTGCACTTCTTGCAAGGAAACATTGTCCGAAGGTTTCTGCTGCAATGACAGATGGGAAGCTGTGGGGCTTTAATGTTCTCCCAGTTGGCCAATTTTGAAAATACATGCCATTGTATTTTTCATTGCTGAACAGAGGTTCTTCTGATACCTCATGTAAGGTGATAAGAAAGGATAGTTCAAATTTTGATTTTCATCCTCCAATTTCCATTCAACATTTATTGTAAATACAAATTATAGGAAATTTATTTTCTTCTATCAAACTGTTCATTCTATTTCCATATTTACTTCAGTACCATGCAGGCATTTTTCTCAAATTAAGAGGAAAGAGGGGGAGCACATGATGAACCTGTATATACTAACAGTAGAACTTTTTTAGAAAATATTTAGAAGTTTTGAAAGGCATTCTACTTGATTCTTATGGGGAATTCCAGTCCAAGTTTACCAGTTAAAATCATTTCAATGTAGCCCATTTAACATTAGTTGAATTCTGCTTCAATTCATGCCTAAATTCAAATTGGAGTTACCCCCTTGTGGATAAATTGCAGTTTTAGAGTCACTAGTAATGGGGGGCTTTGTCTTACTTGAGGATCCAGGTTTATGTAAATTTTTATTAGCATTTGTTAATAAAATGGATGTACAGTATATCAAAAAATCATTTTTGTGTTTATTTGGAACTGTTCATTCTATTTCCTTGAATTCAGCACATTTTACAAATACAGTTGAACCTCAATATCTTGACCCTCCCTAAGTTGACTGGCTCCCTAAGTCAAATTTTTTTGGGTCCCTGTCAGAATCCCCTTAGGAACAATACACTAAAAACCACCCTGATGCTGACTTGAGGGCTTTTCCCCTCAAACCTCCATGAGTCAAATTTGTTGCCCTGTTCGCTATTATTCTCTTGACACAAGAAACAAAAAAGCAATAAAAACAGAAATTGATGTGTTTTGAGAGGAAGTGAAACACCTAATAAATTGGGCAAATGAACACCTGCCTCCAAGTTCAATTTGGAGTGAACTCATTCAAGAAGCCTTTCAAGCCCAAGAATATCACCATGTACAATTTTCGACATTTCTTCTATGTTTCCCAGAACAAAAGGGCTTTTTTTTTTAGCTCACACCTCTACAATTGAAAAACAGTCAAAGCCTCCCTAAGTCACATTTTCTCCTGGTTCCTTGAAATTTGACTTGGAGAGGTTTGAGTGTATTATGCAGGTTGGATGTGAACCTTGATTAACACCATAAAAATCCTGCAAATAAAAAGGGAAAATTAACTGATGTTCTGAGACTTTTTAAACTCTGGATTCACTGGGGAATGAAGTCAATATTAAGAAATGATTGAGCTGCTCATTGTTTCAAACAAAAGAATTTCGTTAATTGTCAAATGATTTGCAGTATGACAGAGATCAGCCGAACAGTCGGAAGTTACTAAAGCGCCGTTTCCTCAAATCGGGCCTCGGCCTTTCGCCGACATAATAAAAAGGCGGAAAGTAACTTTCCAGGAACACTTGAGACAACCCGAATTTTCCCAAGAGTCGCCTCAGGCGCCCCGAGGCAATTTCCAACTTCTTCCTGGCTTTGAACGGGATCGGTAAATGATCTCCTCCACTTGCTCCCACTGGAAAATCGTCTGGTGCAGCCCTTGCGAAACCCTGCTGATGATGAACGGCTTTACCCACTCTCGCGGTTGGCAACCCTGGCTTTCTTCTTAATAGTGGGACTCCGCCCACAAATGGTTCAAGTTTCACTGGAGGCGGGGTGACGAATACTCGAACCTGCGTGGGTATTCCGAAGTTTTGCCTAGTGGGTTTTGCTGTTACTGGGACATGGATCTTCACATCCAAGGGAGGCGGTGGCACTGGAATCTCTTTCGGTTTGTGGTCCGGAATAAGAGCGACATCTGGGTAACGCTGTCCGTCGTGTCCAACGTATGTTGGCAGCGGAGCAGCATGGAGAGAATCCCCTGAGAAAAAAAAATACATTTTTAATTTTGTCAATGACGGGTTGATGACATAAATGCAGTGAGACCCATGCACATGCAGACACCTTGACATGTGGAGAATTTGACATAGGGACGCTTATTTTCCTATAAAAAATTAATTATAAGGCCAACATGCAGACACTGATGCAACATATGAACGTTGTATGATATACAGGTAATTGCAAATACACTTCAGGCAAAATTAGAAGAGTCAGATTTTTTCAACCCTAAAATTGATATAAGAAAAGTTTTTGGCATATTTCTCTCATCAATTTACCATCCATTTAGCTAATTTAGAAAAATTACCTCCAGCATAGAGGGACTTCCTTCCCTCTTTTTCACTCCAAAGTCATTTTTACAGAGTTAGAAGTCCAAAATTTCTATGCACTTTACAGAGGTGTCAGTATTCAATTCACCAAATGTCCATATTGTGTTGATATATATTGGTTGAATCAGTTGAAATTCATGAAAAAATATTTTCATGGAATTATGTTGAGTATTTTGTCCATAAACCACCAATTAAAACTAGAATAAGTCAAGTCTAAGAGGGGATGAGACTTGAGTCACTTGATTCAGGGTAATTTTGACTACCTGACAATCTTGATGCACCAATGCCATCCACAACACAAGGTCTCACTGTACAGCGGTGCTTCAAATACAGAATAAAAAAATAGACTCTCAATGTCTTTCTATGAGAAAAAGTATGTGACATCCTTTCACAATTTTCAACATCCAGGAAAGATCTGTGTAAGATCATTCTTTGATAATTGAAACACCCATATACATGGTTTGGTTCCAAAAAAATTGTTAAAAATGCAGAATTTTGCATTTTCTTCACTTCTTTCAAAAGGACCCCAGTTTTGAATACATCAGTGAGATCCCCAAATACAGACATAAGTGGTGCATCAAGAGTGTCCCTAAGTTGATTTGTCCCTAAGTCAAGTCATTTTTCCCATAGACTAAGGCCTATATTAAAAAGAATTTATAATATAAATTTTTAATTGGTTTTTTATGGAGGAAATATTCCTCAGAATTCCATGAAAAAAAATTTACCGCTTGAATTTGCTTCAGTCAAAATCTTTTCAACTGAATAAAAACATTTGCAGCATTGAATAGTCTACCTCTGTACAGTACATTGAAATGTTGGCATTTGTAAAAGTTACATTTGAGTCACAAAGAGAGAACAAAGTCCCAGTATGGTATAGGTAATTTTTTAGATTAGCTGAAGGGGTGGAAAAATGATGGGGGAAATACCAAAGAAATTTCCTTCCATAGATCACAGGGTTGGAAATATCTGTTTCTTGCAATTAAGCCTAATGAAAGTCAATTTCCTTAAATTGGTTGGCAATTTCATCATGCAATGTCTGCCTGCTGAGTCAGTGTTTGTTTGTCGGGACATTTTGTAATGAAAAAAATAGATGTCCCTATGTCAAATTGCCTACATGTCAAGGTGTATGCATGTGAGGGTCTCATTGTGTTTGCATGACTAACCTGGTTTTGTGTCACTGTAGTCATATCCAGCTTTCAGTCCAGAAACCGAATTACCCAGGGTCACATCCGCGGCTCGCTTGTGAATCGAATGAAGGGTTTCATCTGGATCAAAGTACAGACTTTGAGGTCCATGCTGATGGGCTCCTCCACCCAGCAATGCCCTTACAGACATTGATGAACCCAGGTCCTCCAGATTATCTGCTTCAAAGGGCACAACTTTCTCGTGTTTTGCTGAGGACGACGCAAAGCCTTCCTTGTTTAAAAGCTGAGCCTTTTCTGGACGATAGTTCTTGGCTGGTCTCACCACTTCCGTGATTTTAGTCTTGTTTGTGGCTTTGTCAAATTCTTCATATTCGTAAACATATTCGTACACATACTCTGATTGTTGGTTTTTGTCTGTTGCATCTGTTTGGGGATCCTTGCTGATGGGATCTTGATAATCATAGTCATAAACTATTTCTTGTGGTTTGTTTGTTGTGGTTGTTGTTGTTGTTGCTGCTGTAGATACCCTTGGTGGTGGCCAACTTCTGACTCTTGTGAATGGCTGTGTTGACCAAGTTGATGGTGGAGGTGTGATTCTTCTCTGAACTGCTGTAGTCATGCTCACTTCAAATGTGTTGGTTGATGTGAGGGAAGGAAAGGTTCTGGGTGACTCCAGTGGGGCTGTAGTAGTGGCTTCTGTTGCAGGCATTGTTGAAAAAGTGGTCTGTCCAGTGGTTGATGGTTCAGTGGTAGTGATTGGTTGAGAGGTAGTTGAAGCTGCAGTGCTGGGAAATGTAGTGGTGATGGTACTAGTTGGTTCAGTGGTGGTAGTAGCAGTGGTGGTAGTTGCAACAGTTGTAGTGGTGGTACTTGTTGGAGCAGTGGTTGTAGTGGTACTTGGCTCTAATGTAGTTGTAGCAGCAGTGCTTGGTTCAAATGAAGTAGTAGTTGTAGGAACTGTTGTTGTAATTGGAGTTGTTGGCTCAGAAGTGGTAGTTGACTCATCCTCAGTGGCAGAAGTACTTGAGGCTGTAGTTGACCAATTCCTTGTCCTAAACCTGGACAAGCCAGCACCTCTGAATCTTCCAACATAAGTAGGTTCTACTCTCTTTTCTGATTCCTCAAGGCTTTTCTCAGTATGATTTTGGGTGGATTCCACACTTGACTGGGTAGTAGACCAGCCTCTTGTCCTGTACCTCACTGGATTACTGGTGGTACTGCTCCTATATCTAGAAAATATTCCAGAGGAATCAGTACAGTATAGTATATGGAATTGCAAATGCACGGTATTATTCTGCATATCTTGCTTCAGTTTCAAGTATTGGGCAATCTTTCAACCTCTTTTGGCAGGTTTTTAAAATGGGTTTTGCAGCATCAGGCCCAACAGCAGGGACATCAAGAGATTTGACACAGTGCAAATAAATGAATGAATAATTCCTGGCAATTTCCTGCTTTGTTTCCAAGAACATTAATTATATGTGCCTAGAGCTTTTAGAGGAACTTTTATTATTAAAATATGTCTGAAGCAAATGTTATTTCAGAAACTCAGAAAACAATAATTTCAAATTGAAAGAAACATAATTTCAAATTGAAAGAAACATAATTTCAAATTGAAAGAAACATAATTTCAAATTGAAAGAAACATAAT